AGATTTCTTTTGTTTTTGTGGCTGCTCAACACAGCATGCAGGATCTTAGTTCCCTGACTAGGAATTGAACCTGGGCACCCTGCAGTGGAAGCGTGGAGTCCTAACAACAGAACTGTCAGGGAATTCCTATTTTTTAAAAAAATTTTAATTAAAATTTTAATTTTTATACATTTTTAAAGGCTGCTTTCCATTTGCAGTTATTACAAAATATTAGCCTTATTACCCATGTTGTGCAATCTATCCATGAGCCTATTTTAGCATATATTATATGTTGCCTTCTACAGTTACTTATTTTTTATCTATATACATCATTACCTTACCTAATCTTTACATTGCTTTAGGGAAGGAACCTTTTCCAAAAGGCAGCCAGTGGGGCAGAGTTGTTAAAATTGTTGTTTTGTGTGTGTGTGTACTAGGGTGAGGGTTTTAACAGTTTAGCCTTTATCCTCTTTCCCTTTCCCTTTCTCTTCCTCCTCAAGTTTTTTTTTTTTTTTTTTGTAAAGTGGAGAAGGCAACAGTATCTACTTCCTGCCGATTTGCATGTGAAGTGCCTTGTGTGGGTCTGGCAAGCACTTGGTTGGTGCTTGGTGGTTTTCATGTTGTGTACCTCCCCACCTCCCATTAGATTCCTGTGTTGCTAGCTCTTATATCTCAGAATCATCTAAGTTGGAGCTTTTTGCAGGAAGGGTATCCCCCTTTCCCCTCCCATGTTCTTGGTTTTCCTTCATAAAAAAGGGAGGAAGTGAGATTTACTGCAGCAGTGAATCAGTGGAGCTTCTCAAATCTGGGTATTTGCATTGTACATGACATTGAATTCTAAGTGTGACAGGTTGAGTTGAGGATGAAGGCTTTCCACACCACCCGGGGGAAGTGAGAGCCAAGTGGATTGTTTACAGTAAGCAGAATTGATGCTGCAGTGTGAGCAATACATGGTGTTTATATAGTAATCACCAAATTGTGTGGATCCAACCAGAATGAAAAATGCCTGGAGCCTTGGCTTAGGGCCATGGATGAACAGAGCATGAAGCCTGGCATGGAACAGGAGTGGAAAGCATGGGTGTAGCACAGTGATAGATATAAACAGATGTACATTTAAGTAGAGATCAAAATATGTGGCTGCCTCTTTCCCCCTTTGCACTCGTGGCAGACTTGGTACATCTGTCACATCATTCATTCCTGATTCTGATGTAAAGCGCATATTACTTGAGTATTTACTGCAAGTCAAGCACTGTGTTCTATGCACATCATCTTGCTTACTCCCACAACAACTCAGTGAGGTGGGTCTATTATCCTCCTAGTCAGATGAGGAAACAGTCCCAGAGTGGTCAGTAATGTGCCCAGGGTCTCCAAGCTGGCCGGTGGCAGAGCTGGGATTAGAACCTGGTCACCAAACACCAGAGCATACTATCCATTATTGTGCTTTACAGCCCCTAGCTACGCCCAGATGCTACCTCAGAATCCTCCTACCCCATAAAAATTCATCCCCATCTGCTTCGTTAAGGTCGTGGGGTAGAGGTTCATGCTACGTGTGCTCATTCGTTCATTCAGCTGCTCATTCACTAAACAGTGCTTCTGTGCATCTGCCATGTGCCTGCCACAGTATTCGGTACTGAGGATTCCACAGTGAATGAGACCCAATCCTTGCTTGGGGACTGTACTTACTAGAAGCATCACTTTTTGTCTGGGATGCTCAGTGAGTAGGAAGACTCAGAATTTGAGTGATTCTGGATAGACACTTCCCTGTGTTGAACCAGAAGATACCCCAGTTGATGATGGGAATCAGCAACACTCTGAAAAATGTATTATAATGCCCCAGCATGCACCTGGACCAGAAATTGGGCCATCTGCCACCTTTTTCTGACTTGACTGATTTAGCTATTTGATCTTGGGCCTCAGGAGTTATAACTCATGTTCAAGCAGTGCTTTCTTATGCATTTGTTCACTTTGTTCCTTTTAGTACCTCATTGGAAGGAGGAGTTCTCTGATGTGCAGAGAGATTATGTGACCTGCTTAGTTCTCACAAGCTGGGACTAGAACCCAGGTCTAACTTCTAGCTCCTTGTTTTTGTTATCTCATTTTGCAGCATCTTAATGTCTCAAGGCTTTCAGTTTCCCCATCTGTAAAACAGGGAAATTAAACCACATGGTCCCTAAAAGTTCCTCCCTTCCTCCTTTTCTTTTCTTTCTCCCAAATCACTGCAGTGCCTACATGAACTATACATTATGCTTTAAGCTGAAAATAATGATATGGAAAACAGACGCACACTTTAGAAAGAGCCCATAGAGTGGAGAAAATATTCACAAATCATACACATGGGACTTGTATCCAGAACATATGAAGAACTCTTACAACTCAGTAATAAAAAAGAAAAACAGCCAAATTAAGAACTTGGTAAAGGATCTGAAAAGACTTTTCTCCAAAGAAGGCATGCAGATGGCCAGTAAACACATGAAAAGAGGCTCCACATCATTAGTCATCAGGCAAATGCAAATCAAAACCACAATGAGATATCACTTCACACCCAGTAGCATGGCTATAATCAAAAGAAAGATAATGACAAGTCTTGGTGGAGGATGGGAAGAAATTTAAGCCCTCACACACTGTTGGTAGTGTTGTAAAATGGTGTAACGGTCCTGGAAAACAGTCTGGAATAGAGTTACCATATGACCCGGCAATTCTACTCCTAGGGGTATACCCAAGAGAAATGAAAATATAGGTCTACACATATGCTTTTACACAGGTGTTCACAGAAGTATTATTCATAACAGGCAAAAAGTAGAAACAATCCATTTGGATTGTTTGAAGAAAATGTTTTAAAATTGATTATGTTGATAGTTACATAACTCAATGAATATACTAAAGACCAAGTTGTACACTTTAAATAGGAGGGTAGTTTGATATGTGAATTGCATCTCAATAAAACTATTACACAAACCCCTAGCATGAGCTCTGCCACTGTGGTAAACATAATCTTGTGGGGAGATAAATATTGCTTAAATAACTATACAAAAAGTTTTGTAGTTACTCAGTTTTGGTAAATACTATGAAGGGAAAGAGCCAAATCTTATGACAGAGACTAACAGGAGTTATTGGGGGTTAAGGAAGAGGTATTTGGGAAACTGTAACATTCAAGTGTTCCAACAGAGATCCTCAATAGTAGTGGCTTAAGCCAGGTACAAGGGGCTTCCCAGGTGGTGCTAGTGGCAAAGAACTTGCCTGCCAGTGCAAGAGATGAAAGAGACACGAGTTTAATCCCTGGGTTGGGAAGAGCCCGTGGGGGAGGAAATGGCAACCCACTCTGGAATTCGTGCCTGGAAAATCCCATGGGCAGAGGGGCCTAGTGGGCTACAGTCCATGGGGTTGCAAAGAGTCAGACATGACTGAAGTGACTTAGCAAGCAAGGTAGATGTTGAATTCTCACTCATACAGTAGCACAGGTTTAAGCAGTCTGGGCCTTATATGGAAGCCCACAATTTCAGGGATCTCCTGGTGTGTTGCTCTGTCTTTCCCCGGAGAGGGACGCTGTCCTCATCTGCATGGTCCATGGCGATTCTCCAACCTGTCTATAGTCCAGCACTAAGAGAGGGAGGGGGCACTGGAAAGCTCTTCATTTCTGCTCATATCCAAGGCTCAATCACATGAGGCTGGGGAAAAGGAAGTCATATGCCAGATGTCATGTGCCCTTAGGGGCTCTGTTATAACCTTGGAGATCCTATTACTCAGAAGGAGGGGAGCAGAGATGTAGGGTAAACAGTTAGCAGTTTCTGCCATAGATGGTCTCTCTGAGGCAGTGACATTGAAGGTGAGAACCTGAGGATGAATTGGTGGAGAAAGGGAAGAGTTTTCCAGGCAGGGGAAGAGTGTGTGGGAGGACCAGAAGGCAGGAAAGCCCAGCTACCGTGTTTAATGATATATGTATCTGAGAGATGGGCTTCCTTGGTACTCAGATAGTAAAGAATCTGTCTGCAATACAGGAAACCTGGGTTCAGTCCCTGGGTTGGGAAGATCCCCTGGAGAAGTGAATGGCTACCCACTCCAGTATTCTTGCCTGGAGAATTTCATGGATAGAGGAGCCTGGCAGGCTACAGTCCATGGGGTCACAGAGTCAGACACAACTGAATGACTAATACTATCTGTGAAGCACATCCTCCACGTGGTTAGGACTCACAAGTGCCAGAATTAGACCTGGTCCAAGGAAGCGGCTGCTCTGGGTTCACCTGACTTTTCTCTCTTGTATCTTTCAGGGTTGGGATGGACCCGGACTATGATGGAGGGGTCTTTGTGCCGGACTCTGGAAAGCCCATGTGTATCCTCAGCTTTGAGAACTGAATTCCATGGGTTGTGTCAGTGTCAGACCTGTGAAGTTTAGTTCTTTAGCTGGGATATCTCTATCATCCTGGATTCGAGGGACGTTGGAAAGAACAGATCAAGGTCCGCTGGAGAACTTGGAAGACCGGAGACACAAGGGCCAAGTCTCAGGCTCTGAAGGGATAGTGAGGGTGGTTTCACGGGAGGAGCTCTCATTTAATTGTGAGAAGACTTGGATTCTAGCTGAGCAGTGTTCCAACTAGCTAAATGGATGCCTTAGGCAAGTCATTCTTGCTGCTGCCGCTTTTACTAGTTTATATTTATTGATTACTTATGACGTTCCAGGTACTGTACTAAGTGCTTTCCATGCTGTATGGGAGACTCTTGGAGAAAATGGCTTTAATAAAGCTTGAAATGCATGATTTTTTCCCCTCTGCATGGCATCAGATGGAATTAGCAGAATGTGACAAGTATTATTTAGCATGGACTGCTGAGCTAATTGATCCTTTTTTAGAATGAGACACATGGATACATCCCTCTGGTGGTCCCCCTCTCCCTTTATTTGAATCTCTATTTCCTTGCCTTCTATAAATACATTAGGGCTACACTGTGTCTTTGTATTACAAACTAGGCAAAAGGAGGATGTGATTAGACCTGACTATGGTGCCCAGTTTCTTCCGGGGAAAAGGAACATGAGGGTTTTGAAGGCTCCCTCCCTTTGCCAGGATGGCCAGCTTTATGCTATGGGTGAAGCCGTGTGTCATCCTCCTATGTCAGCTAGATCTGCTCTGAAGGTCATATTTGCTGCGATGATGGTGATTTCCCCCTTTAGGCAGAGGGCTGCTTTCTGTGTGAGTAACATCTGGGCTTTGTCAGGCTTTAGATTTGATGGGGAACCGGGCATTCCTATCCTTTGGAAACTCATCTTTAAGGGTCTTGGTGTCCTAAAATGTCCATCTCTTACTGTTCGCAGAATGCAGGTTGGTCTGGCCCAGTGAAGGAAGGCAGGCCCAAAGTGGGAGACCCTTTTCAGCAACCCTGATGCTTACTGAGTGCCTGCTACGTGCTGGCACGGGGCTTGGTACATTTTGTGCATGATCTCGGTGAATCTCACACCAAGGGTTTTCTGGAAACTGAGGACAAATTAACCAAAAGATGCCAAATAAAAAGGTGTAGTGATGTTATGTGATGCAAAGGAGGGCTTGGGTCTTCTGAATTTCCCTCGGCACGGGTACTGGGACACGGGTGTGCTCTCTGAGCTATACCGATGGTATCAAGGCCCCACCCCTCCTTCTCCCACCCCCACCCCCCCTACCAGTCTGCCCACTTCCGCCTTTTGCTTACTAGACCTTTAGCCAGTGACTCATTTTAGAACCAGAACACTGGTGAAACTCAAGTGAGATCAGAGATCAGTGTCTTTAGTCCTAGATGCTAGAGAAAATCCAGAATTTACTCCAGAAACTCCAGATGCTCTGAGTTCCTGACCATCTGTGTTGTGAACAGGGACTTAGACCACAGATTCTGATTTACTGCAAAAGGCTAATCCTTAATGCAGGTGAACTCTTCCTAAGGCAGACCTGGTAAATGAAATATGGAATTCACACACACACACACATACACACTCTAAACAATGCTGAAGTAGATTTATGAGGAGTAGGCAAAAATTTACTATATGAAGAATGTTTCTTTTCATAAGAGGACTTTTTTAAAAGTCAGAGGCGATTCCATTAAGTAATACATTTCCCAAGGATTTTTGAGATTGTGTTTGCTGTATCAAAACTTATTTTCTGTAAGTGGAAAAAGCGGGTTACAAAATAGCATGGATTATAGGATTCAGTTTATGTAAAATTATACATGCATAGAGGAATATGTGCATTGAAAATATACATCAATTTATCAACAAGGATTACCTCTGGAGTGGTGGGAATTAAGATGTGTTTTCCTCTCTTTTTATTTTCCTCTAGTGTTTGATTCTTACACTGAACATGTTTAATTAAAACAATAAAGTTACTGAAGAAGATTTCACACACAATTGTGATCAATCTAGACAAATGCTTGTGCTATGCATTTAGTAGAAGTTATATGCAGGGAGGTTCCTGATGTGTTCAGTGAAGGAGGTGAGTGTAGAAAAATGTATAGTGTGATTTTTTTTTTTCAAGAGGGAAGTGTACATGTGTGTGGATGTATGTGTCTGTATGGAGTCCAGTGGGTCGTAGATGGTGAGGTAGCAGGCGATTTTTCTCTCTTCTTTACTTATACTTTCCTGCCCAAATAAGAAGAAAAAGAACACTCAATGTATAGATGTTACTTTCTAAGAATCCATCAATTGTGTAAACCAGTAGTTTTCAAGTGAATTTCCTGGACAAGTAACATAAATATCACCTGAGAACTTGTTCAAAGTGTAAGTTCAGGGTCCACCCTTAACACTTTTAAGCAGTGTTTTTTGACTTTTTCAGACTCTTTATTTCCCCTCTACCCTTCCTTGCATTTTTTTCTCTCCTTCTCATCCTCTCCCTTCCTGCTGTGATCAATGGGATCTCAGAGGCAGATTCATCATACTTCTGGCTCTGTGCTTGGGAGAGGACATGTCAGATGCTCTTGGAGAGGTACTTCGGAAGTAATAATATTAATACTAATGGAAGTATTGATTTGCCATCCTCAGATAAAAGGGAAAGGTCATGATTTATCAGCTTGCATTGATGGGACACAGTGGGTAGCTGGACACACACTCAGTAATTGCTGTCTATCCATATGACGAGGCTACTGAGACTTGGTGATTTAGGGACACAGTAGTTTCTTGAGTCCTCCCAGCTGTCAAACCTCTGTTAGTTAATGTGAAGATTCCTACATTAGGGTTCCGCAGAGAAACAGAACCAATAGGATTATATATACATTGAGATTTATTATAGGGAATTGGCTCATGTGATTATGGAGTCCCACTTGGTGGGGTTAATCAGCAAGCTGGAGAGACAGGAGAGGTAATGGTGAAGTTTCAGTCTGAGTTTCAAGACCTGAGAATCAGAGGGACCAGATGTTCCAGTCCAAAGGCCAACAGGCTTAAGGCTCAGAAAGAGCTGATGTTTCAGTTTGAGTTCAAAAGCAGGCACAAAATAGCCGCAGCTCAGCAATCAGACAGGAGGTATTCCATCTTGCTCCCGGGAGTTCAGCCTTTTTGTCTATGTAGGCCATCAACTGATTGGATAAGACCCACCCACACCAGGGAGGGCAATCTGCTTTACTCAGTCCACCAGTTCCGTTTTTTTTTTTTTTTTTTTTTAAATTTTAATGGCAAGCCATTCCAGTATTTTTGCCTGGGAGATCCCATGAACAGAGGAGCCAAGTGGGCTAAAGTCCATGGAGTCATGAAGAGTTGGACATGACTGAGCAACTGAGCACATAGTTACCTTACAATGTGACGTTAGCTTTTGCATGCTGCGGCCGCTAAGTCGCTGCATGGGTGCATGCGAAGTCGCTTTAGTTGTGTTTGGCTCTTGGTAACCCCATGGACTATAGCGCACCAGGCCCCTCTGTCCATGGGATTCTCCAGGCAAGAATGCTGGAGTGGCTTTCCATGCTCTCCCCCAAGGGATCTTTCCCACTCAGGGATTGAACCCACATCTCTATGTCTCCTGCATTGGCAGGTGGGTTCTCTACTACTAGCATCACCTGGGAAGCCCTGGTGTTCTACCATACAGCAAAGTGTATCAGTTACACATACACATATATCTACTCTTTTTATTTCCTTCCCATTTAGGTACCACAGAGCACTGAGTGGAGATCCCTGTGCTAATCAGTAGGTTCTCATTAGTTATCTAGTTTATACACAATATCAATAGTGTGGGGTTTCCCCTGTGGCTTAGCAGTAAAGAATCCACCTGCAATGCAGGAGACTCTGGTTCAATCCCTGGTGAGGAAGATCCCCTGGAGGAGGTCATGGCAATGCACTCCAGTATTCTTGCCAGGAGAATCATACGGACAGAGGAACCTGGTGGGCTGCAGTCCATGGAGTCACAAAGAGTTGGCTGGCAACTGAAGCAACTAAGTGCCACACTATCAGGTGTATATATGTCAATCCTAATCTCCCAATTCAGTCCATCACCCCCTTCACCAATTCCAATGTTAATCTCATCTAAAATCACTCTCACAGATACACCCAGAACAATGTTTGACCAAGTATCTGGGCACCTTGTAAGCCAGTCAAATTGACACATAACATTAACTTCCACAGTTCCTTTTTCGTATTTCTTCACATCTACATTATCTTGCCCTCTTTTCTAATAATATTTCAGAGCTTGGATGTAAAATGCTCTGGGGTGTGGGAGTGGGAAACCAAGCACCTTGCCCTGTTCCTCTTTGTTCTTCTTTGGCATTAAGGTGCTTTGAGGAACTGCTTTTGAAGGAAGTCCTACCTACCCCTACCTCCTGGGGCAGCCCTTCCAAGTAGAAGAGCTATTTCAGTTATTCCTAGGAGATGGCTACAGTATAATTACAACTTTCCTATATTACAAGTTTGCAATGCTCCAGGTGTCATAGATGAAGAAATATGTCTAGATGAGAAAACTGAAGCTCAGGGAGGTTATATACCTTGTTGAAATATCACACAGTAGTAAGTGTCACTTACTGTTAATCAGGGCTGCCTAATCTGAGCCTATGTTCTTTTCACTAAAGTTTGTACTGGGCTTTACAGCGTATAATGGAGAAGGCAATGGCAACCCACTCCAGTACTCTTGCCTGGAAAATCCCATGGACGGAGGAACCTGGTAGGCTGCAGTCCATGGGGTCGCTAAGAGTCAGACGTGACTGAGTGGCTTCACTTCACTTCACAGTTTATAAAGTACTTTAACACACATTATTTTATTTGCTGGCCATAGCTTTCTCCAGTGAAGTAGATATATCTGTAATTTTAGAGATGGGGAATGCAGTTTTCAAAGGCTTTACAGCTTGTCTGTCTCCTGTGTCATGAAGCTAGTTACTAGTGAAGCTGGGCCACAGATATCAAATAAAAAGATAACTTTTATTCTAAAAAAATTCATAGGAAGCATATAAGCTTCTTAGAAGGAAGATAAGAAAGAAAGAGCACCCCTGCTTCATTTTCTCTAGTGTAACTGAAAAAAGACTAGTATACATTGAGGTTCACCCTAATTCACCTGCCTATGTCTTTGGTAAGCAGGAGTGAGCCCTTGTACATGATTAATTCCACCCTCCACAGCACAGTTGTACTTTCAAATATATTAAAGTTATGTTGTTGGTAGCTTTTAAGAAACCATAATGTATTTTTTGCCTTGGGTCTTGCCATACTACAAACACTAGTCAGATTCTATCTGCCTCTAGGCAACAAGTGTGTTTTCTTGTTTAAAAAAACTAGCATATTTTATTGTATAAGTTTACTGCAAAGGAATTCTGAAAATGGAGAAAAGCGTGAAGGAAAAAATTTAAATTATAAAAAAAATTTATTATGCAACAAAATATTCTTTAAATTGAAAATTTGGAAAATTTAGAAAATCATAAAGCAGAAAACTATCCATAAGCTTATAGATGTCTATTTTGGGGGCCAACCCGATGGCTCAGCTGGTAAAGAATCCACCTGCAATGCAGGAGACTCGGGAGATGCTGGTTCAGCCCCTGGGTTAGGAAGCTTCCCTGGAGGAGGAAATGGCAACCCACTCCATTACTCTTGACTAGAAAATCTCATGGACAGAGGAGCAAGGTGGGGAGCCAGAGGAGTCCACGGGGTTGCAAGAGTCGGATACAACTGAGTGAATAAGTGTGTGTCTGTGTCTATTTTGGCTTATGCCTTTTCATTTTCACTTAAAAAATACAGTTGGGATTGTTACTTAAATGTAATATGTCTGTGTGTCAGTTCTGTTTTCCTGTTATTTAACATCTTGTCCTAAGCATTTCCTCATATCCTTATATTTCTTTCCCATGCATTTTAAACTGTAAGAACAGATACTACACTTGATCTCAGCCAAAAGGCCGAGAAGCAATTTTCACGCATTTTAAGTGGCTGCATGTGTAGTTTGTAGAGTGGCTGTGCCTTTGCTTGTTTATCTTCCCCTCTTATTGGACATTTAGAACCTGGATCTTCTGAATCCAAATCTGCTGTTCTCCCGCCCACACTTATCTGCTTTATTTCCTTTTAGCCTTTTGCTTACATTGATTCAGGCATTATTTGTGATGACCTTAGAATTAAAAAAAAAAAAGCCTAGTAGCTTCTTAATCAGTAGAAATGCTAATGTTAAGGCTTTACTGTGTACTGGGTTCTTTCTTCTTTAAACTAGTTTTTATTGGAGTGTTGCGTCTTTACAATGCTGTGTTAGTTTCCGCTGTGCGCCAGGGTGAGTAAACCAGCCATCCACATGCCCCGTTCCATTGGGGCTTCCTTCTCATCCAGGTCACTGCAGTGCATGACGCAGTGTTCCCTGTGCTGCACAGTATGTTCTCATGCGTGCATGCTAAGTCGCTTCAGCTGTGCCCCACTCTTTGCAACTGCACGGATAATAGCCTGTCAGGCTCCTCTGTTCATAGGATTCTCCATGAACAGAATACTGGAATGGGTTACTGTGCTCTCCTTCAGCGGATCTTTCTCATCCAGAGATTGAATGCCACATCTCTTGTGTCTCCTGCATTGGCAGGCAGGTTCCTTACCACTAGTGCCACCTGGGAAGCCCATGTTCTCATTAGTTATCTATTTTAAACATGGTATCAATAGTGCATATGTGTAAATCCAAGTTCTGTTTTAAGACTTTGAACAGAATTCATTGAAGTTACCATTTCTGTTGTTCTTGTCATACAGATGATACCACAGAGGCACAGAGGGTTAAGATAAGTATCAGAAAGCACTCACTGGTATTGAACAACATAGTCAATTTACAGAACTTTATACAAATAGTTATTTATTCAGTCTGCACTGAATTGACACTTTTGAACTGTGGTCTTGGAGAAGACTCTTAAGAGTCCCTTGGACTGCAAGGAGATCAAACCAGTCAGTCCTAAAGGAAATCAGTCCTGAATATTCATTGGAAGGACTGATGCTGAAGCTGAAACTCCAATAGTTTGGCCACTTGATGCAAAGAACTGACTTATTGGAAAAGACCCTGATGCTGGGAAAGACTGA